CTGTGGTATTTATCTTCAGTTGCCTGAGGGGCCAGTGATTCTTAGGATTTTTTTCGTATATAAGTTGAGTACTTACATTTTATCCTTTGAAAAATGAGTGTTTATAGCATTCCTTTTTGTAGTTTATAATTTATAGTTACACACACATATATATATATACATATATATCTATATAAAATTCCCAGAACTGAATAAATAGAACCATTTAGTTGTTCAATTCATCTGTAGCCTTACTACCCTGAAACATTGGACCACTGAATTTGTTGACTCAGAGAGAATAGATTTCCTGAGGTTCATATGTACAGTTCTGACATTGTAATGATACTTCCTTCTCTCCTTCCTTTACACTTTCTTCCTTTCTTTTTAAAATTTTATGATAACATTTTCAACTTACATTATCGTATGCTCAATGCTCCACTACATAGAGTTCAGCAAGCAAAAAGAAAAACTTAATTACTATTATTGAGCAGGGAACTAGATGAGGGTTATAAATAATGACCAAATCTCAAGCTGTCAGTTGCACTTGTATACACTGATTTTTTATAGTTTGCATATCAGCTATTACATATCAAATAAGGCATGTGATATGTGTCTTCTTGAGTCCAATTCTCTTGTGAGTCTATTATCCTGTCAGCGGAGTCTTTTGGCCTCCCATCTTGAAACAGGGACCATTTTACTTTATCTTTTCATGTTTTTTCATGTATTTTGGATTCCTCTTTATTGCCCAATAGTTCTGGTTCAACCTGACAAAACCAGATGGAATAGTGGTGGTGACACGAGGCATCCCTTTGCGGTTCCAGAGCTTGGAGGAATTGCTCCTGGCGTTTCTGCTTCCCACATGATGCTTTCTGTGTTGGCCATACATTGTCTCCATTGTTTTGTGATTGTTTGTTGGTGGATTGCTTGCTCCTTCCACACCCAATTTTTTTTTTAAAGATTTATTTTTATTATGTTTTTATTGGAAAGGCGGATATACAGAGAGGAGAGACAGAGAGAAAGATCTTCTGTCCGATGACTCACTCCCCAAGTGAGCGCAACGGGCCGATACTATGCCGATCCGAAGCCAGGAGCCTCTTCCGGGTCTCCCACGCGGGTGCAGGTTCCCAAAGCTTTGGGCCGTCCTGGACTGCTTTCCCAGGCCACAGGCAGAAAGCTGGAAGGGAAGCGGGGCTGCCGGGATTAGAACCAGCGCCCATATGGGATGCTGGGGCGTGCAAGGTGAGGACCTTTAACCACTTGCGCCACCGTGCCGGGCCCCACACCCAATTTTTAAGGGAGTTTTCTTTCCTTATCAGGAAGGGATGTCAATTCTATATCCTTTCTCTACAGCTATTGAAATAATCATAGATTTCTACTATTTCTAAAAATGAAATAGATAACATTCATTGATTTCTCTATGGTAAAACCATTGCTTTCCCTACAACGATGACACCCAGTTCGCCCAAGTGGGCCCTATTTTGATGCCTTGTTGGATTTTACTTGTTGTTCTTTTGCTAAGGATTTTTACATCTTTGTTCACCAGGAATATGTGACTGGTTGTCCTGTTTGCTCTCTCTCTTGTTGCATCTTTCTCTGGTTTTTGAATTGAGGTTATTCTGGCCTCAAAAATGTGTTTAGAAGGATTGTATCCTTGTAACTTTCTTACACAATTAAAGATGGATTGGGGTTAGTTATTACTAGAAAGTTTGGTAGAATTCATCTGTAAATGCTAAAGTCGGCAGCTTTTCTTTGTTGGGATGCTGTTCAGTGCTGTCTCTATCTTTGTTCTATTAAGGTTTTCTAAGTTTTTGTGCCTCAATTTTGGTAAATTATATCTATCCATAAGTCAATCAACTTATTTTAGTTCTTCCTATTTGTTGGCATTTAACTATGTGTAATAATTCATGATTGTTATTTGTATTTTATGGTATCAGTTGGAACTGCTTCATTTTCATCTCTGACCTTATTAATTGATGTCTTCTCTGCTTTTTCCGGATTGCTGGAAGCAATGGTTTATTTTTACTTTTGCTGTTTAAAGTGACCTACTAAGTTCACTGATTTTTTTTTTTAAGATTTATGTATTTATTGGAAAGTCAGATATACAGAGAGGAGGAGAGAGACAGAGGAAGATCTTCCATTCGATGATTCACTCCCCAAGTGACAGCAATGACTGGAGCTGAGCCAATCTGAAGCCAGGATCCAGGAATTTCTTCCAGGTATCCCGCACAGGTGCAGGGTTCCAAGGCCTTCGGCCTTCCTCGACTGCTTTCCCATGACCACAAGCATGGAGCTGGATGGCAAGGGTAGCTGCCAGAACTAGAACCGGTGACCATAAGGGATCCTGGCATGTTCAAGGCGAAGACTTGAGCCGCTAGGCCATGCTGCCAGGCCCTAAGGTCACTGATTTTTATCACAGGTTTTTATTTCTATTTTGCATATTTCCTCTCTGAATTTTATTTCTTCCCTATTTGGGGTTTGGTTTTTCCTTACTTTTCTCTTCTTCAGTGCACCGTGCTGTGGGGCTGGAACATCCAGGAGGCTCGGTGTGTCACCTGCCACGGTGATCCACGGTGCCTTCCACCTGGTGGGTTTCAAAGCATATCACCCCGTGTGAGCTAAGGGGCAGCTCAACAGTTCTGTCCCAGGATCTGCATGCCAGCTTCCCCACAAGGCTATGCAGGGATGGCTGACAGAGGTTTTAGCCAATGTCAATACATGAGAAATATCCCGTTAGCAAAGTGTACAGCCAGCCACACTGAGTCGGTCGCAGCTGGGCTGTTTACACATTTAGTCTTGTTTTCACCTTTCCTTGCTCACAAAATGTTGCTGTTTTAAAGGCATACTGAAATTCACAAGATATGCAAGAAGTGTCTTTCAATGCACAGCCTCAACAACCAACACAAATAGGAGCATCTTGATACAGCTAAGCTTCAAGTCAGGATTTTTTTATATCTGGCTCATGCACAATTTAAGAAGTATATTCTTACTCTTTAAGTTCTGAACACCTGGCGCGGTGATGGGTCATCCTCAGGAAGCCCCTGTTGAGGAGGAACTCCCCTGGGTCCTCTCCCTCCCTTGGTAGCAGCATCTGAGGCAGAGGCAGAGAGCAGCTCCATGGGCTTCCAGTGCCACTGCTCACTGCAGGTGCATGGGTGTGGCTGCACAGCCCAATGCTGGGCTGAAAGCTCTGCCTGGCTGTGCCAGGAGACATGTGGCTTTGGACAGACACCAGAGTCATTCACATGAAGTGGTGCAGCCACACCAGGGGAACTTGCTGGGTGAAACCTGCTGAGAAGACTTAGTGGCTGTCAGGGGCTCAGCAGGGACCAAGCTGAGGGCTTGTGCTGATCACCAAGAGCCAGCACAGGGAGGCTGCAATGGGCACATTCGCTGCTGGAGCTGGTGTTGGTCTTTCTGAATGCTCAGAACCAAGTGTACACTCCTTCTCGGGCACCAGAGCCTCCCGGGACACCCGAGCTATAAGCCTGTCACACACAGTGCCTCCACTCTGTGCCCACACTGTGCATGGGAGCCACTGCTGCTATTAATGTCTCTCTGACCTGCAACAGGTCATGACATTTCTCATATTTCAACAAGCTTGAGAGAGGGGAAATAAAAAGCTGCTACACAGCTACCAGCTTTTTGACCTTATACAATGTTTGTAAATTAACATAAAACGTAAATATTTCTAGCTTAAATTAGATCAAATCAGGAATGATGGCAACTGTGGAAAGCATTTAGGACGTTTTTATTATACATGGAGTTTGACAATGGAAAATACATGAGCATCTTGCAGGGCACTTGGTGACATAGGACATCGCAAAGTAATAACAAACCTTCTTAACAGTGCTACGTTGTAAATGGTGAATACATGAACATCTTGCAGGGCACTTTGGTGTCAGGGGACCTCGCATAGTGTTAACAAACCTTAACAGTGCTACGTTGTAAATGGTGAATACATGAACGTCTTGTAGTGTACTTGGTGACATGGGACCTCATACAGGATTAACAAACCTTCTTTAGAGTGCTATGATATAAACAAAGAAACAAACAAAAAGAAACAAAGAAAGAAAGAAAAAACATAGAACAAAAAACCCCAAAAAAGAAGAAAAAAGAACAAAAAACAAAAACAATCCCCTAAAACAAAAAAGAACCAAAAAAGAAAAAATGAAGAAACAAGCAAAAAAGAAAAAATTGAGCAAAAAGGAAAAATAACTAAAACAAAAAGGAAAAAACCTAAAAAACTAAAAAGAACAAGAAAAGAAAAATTAAGAAACCAACAAAAAACTGAAACAAATAACATTAAAACCTAAAACACAAAGAACTAAAAAGCAAAGAAAAACGCAAAACCTAAACCAAAAAAGAATAAGAACGTAACAAAAAGAAAAACCAAAAAACAAAAAATTAAAACAAAAAAGAACAAAAAAAATCTAAAAACTAAAAAGAACAAAAAAGAAAGAGTAAAAAGGAAACAATAAATTAACTTAAGAAAAACCTAAAACACAAAAAGAACAGAAAAAACTGGAAAACAGAAAAAGAAAAAAATGAAAACAAAAAATAGGAAAAAACTGAAAAAACAGAATACAACAAAAACACCTAAAAATCAAATACAAAAACTGAAACAAATAAGATTAAAACCTAAAACAGAAAAAGAACAAAAAAGAATAAGAAAACAACCTAAAAAAACAAAATGAACAAAAAACCTAAATAACAAAGAAAACAGAAAAACTAAAACAAATAAGAAAAAACTCTAAAACAAAGAACAAAAAAGGGAAAAAAATGAAAAAACAAATAAAAGCAAAAATGCTGAAAAAAACTAAAAAGAAAAAAATTTTTAAATTTTTAAAAACTAAAAATACTAAAACAAGAAGGAAAAGAAAACCCAAACAATAAAGAACATAAGAAAAAAAGAAGGAACCAAAAAGGAAAAAATTAAAAAAGAACAAAGGAAAACAAAACAAAAAAGAGCAAAAAAAAAAAAAAGTTCTATGAAGGTTTTCCTTTCCTGTTGGCAGAGATTTCTACTTCTTTGAAAGATCTTGTATCCCAACTGCAGTGCTGTTGTTAGGCGGCACTGGCAGTGTTGTAAATGTGGGTACGAAGTCCTTAATGGGCTCCAGCAGAAGGTTTCCGGGTTGGCCCTGGCCAAGTCCAGCTGGGCTAATAAGGGGCACAGCCTCAGAGTTGGTGGCCGAAAATGCATCCACATCCTTCCTTCTACCAGATCTGGAATCGGCTGAATCTTGAAAAGTTTCTGGCACACCTGTGCTTGCTCTTGTTCCCGTAGAATGTAGAGGTTTCATCTCACTTGTGCAAAGATTTGGTGGTGGAGTGGATGGGTGTGACTGACTCTGCAAAAAATTTACAAAAAGTTCCAAAAATGAGTTGTTGGGCACAGACTGCTCGTTGGGTCTGAGAGGTTTGTTGGGGTCATTTTGGGATCCTCCTCCAAGACACCCGCTCACCCATCTTGCAACACAGCCTTGGTCTTCTTTAAACAACTGATCCATCTCTTCTCTTTTCAGGCCCAGAATACTGCCCATCAAACGCAGCACTTCAGGCCGCTGACTTTTCGGAGTGTGGAATTGCCTAATAAAAAGGTTTCTCACCAATATTATGTCGATTTTGCCCTCCATGCCATCTACCAAATTTACCCATTTCTTTTGTACATCCTCCAACATTTCTTGTTGAAGCTCATTTTGATTTTTAAGATCCTGGATTTCTCTTTCTTTGTGTTCCAACTGTTCCATTAGTCTTGATGTGGAATCCAGTACGGCGTTTGCTTTGTCCAAATGTTCTTGTAAGTCAATAACTTTCACTGGCAGGTCTTGAGCCTTTTCTTTCCATTTGTGTACAAGCTGCTCTTGTTTTTCCACTTCAGCACCATCCATAACTTTTTCCTTATGCTGGACGTGCTCACGCACCATCTGCAGGTTGCCCAGGGACACAGTGTACTGCTTCTCCTGGTCCTGAGCCTGAGAGAGCTGTTGGGCAGCCTCGTCCCTCTGCTTGGAGACTATGTTCAACTTCGCCTGCAAGGATTCTATTTGCGCGCTGGCTTGATGGCTGGCAGTTTCCATCTCATTCAAGGAAGAAACTAGTTTTTGTTCTAAAACCATGACATTTTCTCTAAGTTTGGCCTCTCTCTGTGCAGCAGCCCAAACTTCGTGTGTGTTCCTCTCTTGTAATGCTTGGTATGCATTTTCCTTCTCCCTCATCTCTTCTACTCTTCTGTTGTTTTCATCCTTTAACTTTGAAATTTCCATCTCCAAAATGAGTATTCTTTCCTTCAAGTCTGTTTCTGATTGTCTTAAAATTTCATTTTCATTCACTTTGTTGGTCAAATTTTCCTTTGAGGAAAGCAGCTGCTCGCTTTGGTTCTTGAGCAGGAGCTCTTTCTCCTTGAGAAGGTTTTGCAGCACATCACATGTTTGCTTCAGCTGCCTGAGCTCCGAATTGTGCTGCTGGTGCTCTTTCTTTTTTAGCTCTGCAGCAGCAGCGATGGAGTCAGACAGGTGTTGGTTATCCTGCTGCAGAGCTCTGATGCTGATGTCTCTTTGTTCCAGGGATCTTCTTAGCTCTTCTACCTGTTGCTGAAGCAACGCAGAAGTCTCCCTGTTTCGATCAGATTCATTGGCTCCAAGACGCCCTGCTGCCTCACAAGGAGGCAATGACCCAGTATGCAGTGGGGGTGAAAGGCTATCAAGTTTTCCCATGAAGAGGTCTTTGGCATTGCAGAGTTGCTCCAAATAACGCTGCATTTGTGTCAAGTCACGCCTCAAATTTTTCAGTTTGTTTTCATGTTGATCATAATTCTGTATCAGGTCATCATAGTTCCCTTGTAATTGAATGCTATTGTTGCTTTTTTCCAACATTCGACCTTGGAGCTGAAGCAGCTCTTCTAGGGCATGTGCTGACTCGTGGTGCATATTCTGGACGGTAGTGATAACTTGCTTTTTCCACTCCAACATTTTGCTTACTTTTTGTTTTAAATATTCACGTTCCTGTAAGAGCTTTACTAACTCATCACTGTTAACACCCCCGGCCTCATTCCCGGTGCCAGAGGTTTGCAGGATAGCCAATAAGGTCTCGCATTTTTGCCGTAATGCGTCTACCTCAATGTCCTTTTCTCTTATGATGCGTGACAGATTCTGAAGCGTTTCTCTAAACATTTCTTGGGGGTTGTTCTCAAACCTGAAGGACATTTGTTTATTTTCGTCTTGGAGTTTAACTAGCGCTGCCTCTTTGGCAACCACTATGTCCATCATTTTGTGATTCTCCATTTTGAGATGGCCGTTTTCCCTCATTTGGGCACTGAAAACAGCTAATATCTGCTCTTTCTCCCTAGCGTAGGCTTGCAGCTGCTGCTGAAGGATGTCCTGGGAGTAGGACGTTGAAGATATTTTAACATGAAGAGCTTGGATTTCCAAATCCTTCTGCTGAATTATTTGGGTTATCTTTCCTACTTCATTATTTGATAGTTGGTCAATCTGTTTAGTTAAAGATAGATTCTTTTCATTTAGAAGCTTAATCTCCAAATCTCGCTCTTGTATTCCTTTTACTAACTCTTCTGTTTCTGCTTTAGAGAGTTCATGGTTTACATGTTCATTTTCAAGGCAAACATTTTGAACTTGTTCTTCAGGGAAGATATCACAGTTTTTGGTGGGGGTATGCTGTCCTTCCTCGGGCAGCTGGGTTTTGATCTGTTCAATTGTGTTCTGCAGGTTCTTAATCTCCTCCTCTTTCTCTAAGATCAGCCGCCTTTGCACTTCTTTCACTTGCTCATACTGGTGCTTATTCTCCTCCATCGCCTTCAGCAGCTGCCTCTTACTCCTTTTCTGATCTTCAATGATCTTTAGGTGTTCTTTAATTTCTTCTTCCAGATGTTTCTTGACAATGGTCAGCTGGGTCACCTCTGACTCTAGTTCGGACACACAGACGGGGAATCCGGGCTTGGCCCCGTGCACAGCCTGACTCTGCTGCTCCCTGAGCCGCTCCAGCTCCTCCTGGAGATGATTCTTTTCTTGTTTCATGCAGCCCAGGCTTCTATGCTTTTCCTCTACCGTCTGTTGTAAGATTTCATTCTTTTTAGAAGTCTCAATACATCTGTCCAATTCCGCCTGCAGCTCTGAACTTTTTTCTTGAAGATTTTCAATGCAAGTTTCCTTCTCACTTAGCACTTGTGTCAAATGCTCCTGCTTTTCTAAACTAGAGGACAAAAGCTCCTCGGTATGTTTATGACATATGTCTGTTTGCTCAATGCTCTTTCTCAGAACCGCTATTTCCAGGTCCTTCTGCTGATGCAGCTCCAGTAAACGATCCTGTTCCTGCTTAAGGGCAGCACAATCCAACTGGTGTGCGCTGGACAGCTCCTCCAGGCTCTGCTTGTGCTTGTTGGCCTCCTCCAACAGCCTCTTCTCAGCGCCACCTAAGTCAGCTTCTAGCTGGTGCTTTTCCCTTCTCAGGGTCTCCAGAATCGTGTCTTTTTCTAAAGAAACTTGACGGTTTAGAGCAACAGACTCTTCTAATTTCTGTTTCACCTGTTCACATGCCAAAATCAACTTCTCATTTTCTATCCTGAGATCAAACGCAATTTTCTGTAAATTTTCATCATGCTTTTCAGCTTCTGAAAGCTGCTGCTCTAAGTTTCTTACTTGGGTTTCCTTTTCTTTCAGTAAATTGTTGCAATTATTGTTAAGGTCTTGAGTAGTCATTAATTGTTTTCTCATTTGGCTGTGCTCCTCCTCATTTTGCTGAATGCATCTTTTCAGATGCAGATTCTCTTTCTGGATGTCTTCAATATTTGTCTGCGCTTTATTCAGCTGATCAACTAAATCTTGTAGTTTATCTTCACACTCCTGCTTGGCTACATGCAAAGCACGGAGCTCACATTCATTCTGAATTAAATTGTTTCTCGCCTCCTCCAATTCTTCAGAAATGTTAGCTTTGTCTTTCTCCAGCTGATAAACTTGCTTTTTTTCATGATCTAGATCTTCTTTTAGTTGATTGATGATAACATCGCCTTCATTGTGTCCATTTGATAGCTGAGTTTTCATTAACATTACCTGCTGATTCAGTGTTTTGTTTTTACTTTCACTGTCAGCCAGTGCCTGCTGGAGCCTGAGCACTTCCTCCTCCACTGCACTCTGCATGGTTTCTTGGCCCGCAGCAGGCTCCACAGGTTGATCAGCACAATATGCCAGCCTCTCACATTCCACTCGTAAAGTCTCATATTCAAGCACCATTTGTCCATTTCCCACATTCAGCTGTTTGTGTTCTCTCTGCAAAATCTCTTTTTCATGTTCGGCACAAGTTAATCTTTGAGTGGTGTCTTTGAGTTTATCTTCCAGTTCGTTGATTTTTTGGGAGCATTCAGTTTTTTCTCTCTGTAACATTTCGATGGCCTTTTGCATCTCAGAGAGTTTAGGCTCCTGGTAGGCTCCTGAACCACCTTGCTCCAGTAATTGTTCAAGCTCCTCAATCCGTTCTCGGTGTTGACGAGTTACCTCCGTCAGTTTCAGCTGATATGCATCTTGCAACGCTGCTATTTCATATTGGCAGTTATCAAGTTGCTCTTTTTGATTTTGTTTAAGATCTTTGATTATCTTCTGAAGGTTACCGACTTCATTTTGTTCAGAATGATGTGGTCCTTCGGCCTGAGGTCTCTCGGCTATGTTTATCCAGTGGCTAAGCTCAGAATCAGGCCCTGACACTTCCCTGGGCTGCCAGTTAATTCCTTCGTCTGAGCAATTTAAGTCAATAGTCTCCATGTCCTCCTCATTGAATGCTGGTGTGGGCTGACTGCCCCCGTAGCTGAGTGTGGACGATGTGGTATAGGTGACAGCAACGCAGCGAGGTGCTGAGAGGCCTGACTGCAGCTTCAGTAGCTGGTGCTGCAGCTCCGCCTGTCTTTCTTTAAGGTAGCTGATCTCCCTCTCTTTGTGCTGAAGCTTGTCTATGTAACTTGTTGATTGTTGTTTCATTTGCTGCTGTAATAATTCATGTTTCTCTTCAAGATCAGTACATAGGTTTTGGAGCCTTTCATTTTCTGATTTGTAGAACAAATGAAGGAGTTCAATTTCACCTCTTCCAGAAGTTGGTAATTCTACTACTTCCTCTCCTCCTTTGATGAACCTGTCCTTGGTGAAATTAGAAATATGGCCGGTGAGAGAGACCAAACTGCCTCCCACTTGGCCCAAAGAATGGCCTAGACCAGAGCCGATGCTCCCTAGCCAGGAAGACATGGCTGTGGGTTTTGGAGAAGCCGTTTTTCAACATCAAATCGCCATCCTGTGCGTCCCGACCATCCCTCCGAACCTTCTCCAACCGCGACCTTGGCGGGACTAACCCAGAACACGGAGCTCCGGAGGTGACAGCACAATGAGGGGCCCACCTCCTGCCCGAGACACGCCCAGGCCCTCGGGATGGCGTCACAGCCAGCTGCTTTCACTCCTTCCCAGGACGTTCCACCGCCCAAGCAGGCACAAGTCCTTCTTCCCTGGCTTTAATGACTTTGCCCACTTCCGGGCACACTGCTGCCAACTCCATGCAGGCTGCCATGACACTCGCTCTCCAAGCAGCGCAGGAGCATAGAGCTCCGTGCTTTTCTTGTTCCCTTTTTTTTAATCTGATACTTTTTCAATTTCTACTGTTGGCACTTATTGCTATACGCTTTCTTGTTAGCATTGCTAACATTGTATCCTATGTTTGGATATATTGCTTCCATTTTCATTCATTTGAAGGAATTCTTAAATCTTCCTGCCGATTTCTGCTGTGACCCATTGTTCTTACAGGAGCGTCCTGCTGGCTCTCCATGTGTAGACTCTGTTTGGTAGAGTTTCTTCTGCTGTTAATTTCCAGTTTCATTTCATTGTGGTTAGAAAAGGTATGGGAGGGCCCTGTATGGTGCCTAGAGGCTAAAGTCCTTGGCTTGAATGTGCCAGGATCCCATCTGGGTGCATGTTCTAATCCAGGCAGCCCCGCTTCCCATCCAGCTCCCTGGGAAAGCAGTAGAGCACGGCCCAGCACTTGGGGACCCTGCACCCGCTTGGGAGACCTGGAGGAAGCTACATGCTCCTGGCTTCTGGTGAAGTTCTGCCATTGCAGTCACTTGGGGAGGGATTCATTGGACAGATCTCCCTCTCTGTCTCTCCTTTCACTATATAGCTGACTTTGTAATAAAAATAAATAAATCTTAAAAAAATTATGTGACAATTTTTCAGTGTTTTGAATTTGTTGAGAATGTTTTTACCGTTTAGTAGATGGTCTATTCTGGAGAATATTTCATGCGCTCACAAAGAGCGTGTATACTGTGTCTGTTCTTTGGTCTAGAGTGTACATTCAGTCTTTTATTATTTCGTTAAGTTTTGTTGTTTTGGTGATGATCTATCACTGTTGAAATGGGGCTTTGAAGTTCTCCCATTACTTCTCTCTTTGGACGCATCAACATTTATCTTCTAATGCTGTGTATTCTAGCGTCATATGCATATACCTGTCATGTAGTCAAGTGTTCTTATTGAACTGATCTGTTATTGGTTACATCATGATCTTCTTTATCACTTAGAGCAGATGTCTGAAAGTCTGTTTGGTTTGACATGAATGTAGCTACTCAGGATCATTTCTAATTTCCACTTACTTGAATATTTTCCCATCCTTTCAGTCTGTATGCATATTGCGTTTATTGGTGAAATATGTGTCTTGTAAGCAACGTAGAGATTTTTTTTTCTCCAATTGAAAGGAGTCTGTGGCTTTTAATGGGGGAATTTAACCTAATTTTGCCCTTATTTGTTACTTTGGAATGTAATGGGTTGGTCCTGCCATTTTTTAAATAAAAATCCCTGGATTTTGCTTTGTATACTTGCTTTCTGTTTCTACTAAGTTTTCTGCTGTTACATTATGTCATGCTGCTGATTGTCTTTCCACTCGTTGTGACGTACACTCTTAAATTTTGTTAGGCTGGCTGCATGATGAGAAGTTCTTTTAATTGTTTAAGTTTTAGAAGATGTTTATTTTACCTTTATTTATGAATGAGTGATCATAAGGTCTTTGCATGAAGATCTTTCTTCTGAGTTTTTCTTTTAGGATTTGGATCATATGTCTCCAGTCTCTAGCATGTAGAATTTTGCTGAAAAATCTGCTGTCATTCTGATGAGGATTCCTTTACAGACGACCTGGTTTTTCTCTCTTGAAGATATTAGGATATTGTCTATGTTTTCCTTTTGAAAGTGTCACTGTAACGTCTTGTATCATAAGGATGTTTTCTGATAATTGCTTTTTGGGGCCCTGTAACCTTCGCACGCATGGATGTGCTAACTAACTCCAGATTCAGAACATTTCCTGTCATTAGTTCACTGAGTATGTTTTCTAAGCCATTTGCTTTTCCCTCCTTTTTTGAACTTCTGACCCTCATATATATTGTCATTTGTTGCTATCCCATAGATTCTGAATATTATTCTCAGGTTTTTCTATTTTTTTCCTCTCTCTCTCTCTCTTTGTCTTGTTTGTCTCACTGAGTAGTTTCAAAAGAACTGCCTTCTAGATGGGTGTTCTTTCTTTTGCCTAAGTTGATTGCTAAGATTTTCCACTGTATTTTCACTGTGCCTGTTCTAGAAGACTAGTGTCTTCCACCCCAAGCCTTTTGTAGGTCAGAGTGAATCAGTCAACTCACCAGAACAAGCAGAGCACATGATGCCTGCACACTCCACCTGCCCGCATGCACACTGTGCAGAGCGCTGATCCACCTGTTCCCCAGCCTCCTCCAGCATGCAAAGAGCTCTGCGTCTCCACAGTCAGGCTGGATAGCTGCAGATTATACAATCCATGAAGCACAACAGTGTCAGCTCCATGGTGTTTGCCCTTCACACAATGACAAAGTGTAAGGGGTCCACTCTCCACCCTTCGAACGACCTCAGCCCAGCCCTGGGTCCCTCCACAACAGTGGAACTTTCCACTGTTCTGCAGCTCAGGACACAGCTCAGCAACAGCTCCACTTCAGTGCATTGAATCCACTGCATCAACACACCAGCTTTCCAGGCCGGACTCAAAGGCGATGGGCACTATGGAATATTTTGAAGTCAAAGCCTCTAGTGGCAGGGGTCATGGCAGTCTCCCTCCCCTTGCCTAGAGGTCATAGCATTCCCCAGTTGGTTTCAGTGTAGCTATTCTTTCTCCTCACGATTGCACTATTCCACTAGTCTACCATTCTGCTCTGTCTATTCCTTATTGAAAATTTCTCCTAATCCATCTCTGGGAAAATCATCTTTAAAAAAAAAGCTCCATTGTAACTTGGAATTTTTTTTTAAAGAGAGAAATGTAAAATTTGGATATTTTTGAAGGAGTGGGTGTTGGGAAGGATGGGATAGGAGAGGGACAGAATAGGAGAGGGAAGAGAGAAGGGGAGCTGGGGTGATTTATAGATAGAGGAAGTGGCAGAGAAAGAACAGGGGAGGGCGCAGCAGAGAAATCTGCAGAGCTTATACAAGTGGAAGAAAGATTCTTCCCTGGAATCTCAAGAGATTCGAGCCTGCTGATGTTTTGACGTTGTCAAGATTTCCAATCTTGGAAAGTTAAACTCAGTACATTTCACAAAGCAACTCAGTTTGTAGTAAATGGTTAGAATATCTGTTGCAAATGAACATAAAGCATTATAGAATAGCTATCCTTGGTTTTATCGCATCTGGGGTCTGCTCAGCTTATGATGACCTATTATGAGTACCCTATTGTTTCAAGCACTTCTCCAGCCCTATCATTGTTCTAATAGCAAAAGTGCTGTATCTTTTTTCTATAGTACCACAGATCCCATTGAATTTATTTGTCATTCCATTTTCTCCAGTTATATACTTAGTATATAAGGGAAAAAGAAAATCCAACAGAATTCGGTTTTCTACGTTGTTGATATTTGGTAATTAAGAGCACATAAAGGCAGAGAGAAAGCCCAGCAAATTTACAACCATTTTTTTCCTTAGGTTTTTAGGTTCTTAACTAATCACCTTTCTTGTTCCCACATTTCAAAGTCTTCTTACACAGGATTATTAGATCTAATAATAGGAGGGAAAGCAAAAGTATAGCTGCTGTGCTTTTCCAGCAAAAGTATAGCTGCTGTGCTTTTTCTGTTTCCAGAAATACAAATCCCGTCACTGATGGTTTCACTGCTATGCCCATGTTTATTTCTTATCAGTATTTTGTCTTCCACTTAACTTATCGTGTGGAATTTGAATGCTGTTTTTGTTTTCTGCTGTATTTATTGAGCTGCATTAATTAATGTTCTTCCTTCTCTTGAGCTTACTTCTCAGCCAATGGAGCCTGGTCTTCCCTCTCAAGAGCATCCTTTCTATGAGAGGGTCCAAAAGACACGGACATAAGTTTTCATAGTATCTGTGAACTAAAGTTGTTGAATCATAGCGTAAAATGACTGTTTCTTCCTACCTTGACTGCCCTTGATTCTACCACATTTTACACTGGCTCCTGTGGGATGCTTGCAGGTATCTGAGCATTTGGATTAAAAGCAACTTAAAATATTTACTTTTAGTTTGGACTTAGTTTAACATCTCAAGATTCACAAACTTCCATGTGTCAACGACTGGAATTGGCTTAGTGCAGATTCATCGAGATGTGACATTGCAAAGTTCCAAAACTAGAGAATTGTGCTGCTTTGTGTCTTGAAGCAAATGTGTGAGCGAAGGACAATAAGGCTTAAAATCTATAAAACCAGAAGGTAGCCAATAACAGCTTTCTTCCAAGTCCAATGCAGGGGAAAAATTGTCAAAAGTCTTTCTTAATGTTGATGAAATATATGACATTGTGAGTAATTAATTGTTAAACTAAAAAGATTTCTAAGCTGTTATTTAATAATGCTAATATTTCATCAATACATTCATAGGAAAGGCTAAATTATCCTTCTCTAGGTCTACAATAATGCTGCAATACCATTGCTCCATTGGGATTTAATCAGTGACTTCACGGACCAAATACAGAGGAAATAAGTAGCACAGGGGTGTTAGAAGCAATATGATATGACAGTGTTATTTTGTTTTTGGATTTTCTGAGGCGATTATCCTGGAAATGCTATAACTTTAATTCCCCTTTCTTTTTCTAAGTATTCTCATTTCTGTACCCAATTTACATTCCTTTTCTTTAAAACTGCCTCTGAATGATAAAGGGTCATGTTTCACTAATTCTGGACCCACCCTGGGCTCATTATGCCACTCAGGCTGCCTTCCTCTCCAGACAGGTGGCAAGAGTATGC